AATTTAGGTATAGTGCAAGAAACATATTTTTAGAGACCAAACTATACATCAGGGATTATAAGTCGGTATTAGGCTGGCGATCCTTTTTTTTTTGGCAGAAAAATCTCTGGTACCCATCGAATGAGGTTGGGTGGATCTGTGAGCTGTATTAATTGATTAACAAATTTAACCTTATCAACTTTGGTAGATACAATTGTGTCCATTTCACCAATAGTCCAGTGCAGTGGTTCACAATTTAAGAGTTCTGTGACGTGATTAAAAAAAAAAACCCACTATGAGCTGGTTTTGTTGTTGTTGTTGTTATGATACTAGTTGAAATTTTGTTTTTGTTATAAATGTGAACATTAAAAAGTATGGGGATCATGGCAAACCTCCCAAAATAAGAGTGATCGGCAGGTGTTGCCTAATTGAGAAGCCCTGACCTAATGCAATAGCCACTATATGTTCATTGTGGCGCTCCGTGTCTAAATGTAAAACCAGTGCATGGCACAAGTAAAAAGAGATAGGAAAACATAAAGTATGCGTCAGCTGTACAGAATCAGTTACAGAGAACAAAGGGTGTTGTTATGATTAGACTTCATCAGCAGTATGATGACAGGTAACAAAACAACAAACAAAATATGAACTGGCTTGAAATTTACTACACTGTAGTATTCAAATAGTATGTAAATCTTCTTCTTGTTCTTTCTTCTTCGTGTTCACCGGCTGTAAATTCTAGTGGAAAGTTCTGGTTGTTCATCCACTTCTGTACTCTAGTCCTGTTCTAGAAACTGAGTGTTACATCCACATCTATTTCACAGGTCTGACTCATTTGCATGAAGACTGTTTGTTTCTTGCCTCTCAGGCACATGTACTCTGACTTTGAAAGGAAGCTCTCAATTAATTGACTCTTACGACGTGCTTATGGGTAGGAAGTGGGTCTGTTCTTGTTTTTCCCACAATGGGACCCAGGAACCCACACAGGGAAGTGTGGTAAACCAGTTCAGACAAAATAATAATAATATAGTAGGAAATGATATCAACCTTTCTCTCATTTTGACAAGTCCACGGAGAGCAAAACATCTTCTGTATTTATGTGAAATCAAAGTACAAAACTGTTTTGAGTTGACAGAGAGTGGTGGGGAGGGGGGAGAGCTAGATGAGAGGGAGGAATGATGAGAAGGAGCGAGCCAGATAGAGAGGTACAACGAGGAGTGAGTAGAGATTTATGCACATTTAAAAGCAGTTGATGTTTTATATTTTCATATGTTAATAATATCATTTTCCTCCATGTACTTCTAGTCTGGCTGGAGCATTTCCGTAGAGATTGTGATAGGCCCAGATGTTGGCATCAGTTACCTCACAGAGAAAGCCTCCACTGTAAGTTCCAGATAACCAGTACTGACACAGATTCTTTCTTCTTTCTTTGTCTGATTTTTGTTTTGCTTTGTTTTTAGAAATAATCGAGTTGTGCCTGTTTCTAGGAGAGCTGCAATGTTTATGTATTTTGGGCGGCACATTTGTCTTCAAGCATTATTTAACCAATTTGGCCTCTGACATCTGACATTGATTGATGTGACAGCAAATCACTTAATCGTTTAATTAATCTGCAAGGAACACTGTTTAAAGTTTTGGTAATTTTCTTGATTCCCAGTTTTGAAGTCTAAAAGACACACTTTGTGGTTACACAACCAAACATTCCTGTATGGATTCCTGGATCCCATTGTGGGGACAACAAGAAAAGACCCACTGCCTCCCCAGCAAGCGTGTTGGAGTCGACTGATTAGGAATTTTCTTCGAAGTCGAGTGCATCTGCCTGAGAGGTAAGGAGCCAACAGTCTACGTACAGATAAGTCAGATCTGTAAAACGGATGTGCGCGCAACTCTCCGGTTCTGGAACAAGGCTAATGTCCAGAGGAGGATGAACAGCCAGAACTTTCTGCTGGAGTTTACAACCGGCGAACGCAAAGAAGGAGAAGACAACCACACAAGAAGTGTATGCTTCACCTGACATTGATTTCTTTAGCTTGCTTGTTTTAGCTTTTGTGTACAAGATAAACATTGTCTTTTGTGGGATTGTTTGTCTCGTTTGCTCTGTCCATGCAAAATAGGGATACCATCATTATGTAACAGATTTGCAGAATGTCACTCTCAGCAGTCTGCCTAAAAGAAGCTCAGTCTCTCACCAGCTCTCACGCATCATGCACTTTCCCACCCAAAGTTTCTCTTATATCATGTGACCATCTTCATGCTGGTGGGCCCCTTGCCCTGTATTCAGCTATTTTTGTTTCTAATCCACCATGGCGCTTGATATGACTGAAATATTCCAGTTTCGGAGATAGATGCTGTTTACTAGCCAATCCTCCTTGATATTAAAATCTGCCACATGATGATCAATACCAGTATCATGTAGCAAGCGCTTTGCAGAAGGTCAGTCTCATGGATACCATCCATGAATAAATTGCTTTGTAATTGCTTGATGAAGCTTTCTTTAGGAAGATAAATGTATGGTAGTTATTCTGTAACTAATATTTTAAATTTAGAAAAAAATAGATGTAGGTGTAATTTGTTAATAATGCTTAAGAGAGTACATATCTGTGTGTGCATAGTTTTTAAAACTTGTTTATGGGAATGATTGTACATTTGTCTTTCAAATAGTAAACAAATAATTGATGTATATGTCTATATTTACAAATTATTAAGAAAAATTTATCACAGCTTGCTCCTTCATATAATATTTAGGGAAATATATTATGTTTTTATGTTCTTCAAATGATGTCCTTGATGTGTGTGCTCATATTCATGTAGTGTTTAAAGAAATGTTTATATTTAATAGCATAGATATAAAGGCGAAGCAGTGCGATGTTCATATATCCACCCATTCAGTGCCTATTGGTTAAACACAAAAATATATGTGTGTAGCTTCATATGCCTATCTCACAGGACATAGTCCTGAATACCCAGTCAGCCTCTTCACACGAAAGAAACAGATGATTATTTTTAGATTGCACCTGACTCTTCAGCCATATGTACAAGAAATTCAAGATTAGAGATTCAGAACTTTGAAGCGAATCGGCCATTTGTACATGGGGAATAGCACCCCGGACAACAGATCGCGTCCTCCAAGACTGTCCCAGATCCAACACATCAAGGCAAATCTTTTGGCCAAGAGAAACACCATTGCAAGCCCAACTGTACGGGTCACTGAGTGAATTACAAAAGACAGTGAAGTTCATACTAGAGACAACAGTGCAGATATAGATAATTTATTTCAAGTAAACAAAAGAAGAAGAAGAAGCAGAACTTTGAATACTGAACATGTACTACAGACATGCTCTCTACTGGAGTAAAGAGATCCCATGTTTGGATAGTTGGCATTCCAATAGAAACTGAGTTGTGTGAAACAGTGGAAGACATGCTTTGTGCTACACCAGTGTTTCCCAAACTTTTCTTGGTCGCTGCACCTTTTTTTCAATTAAAATTTGTCCACGGCGCCCTAACCTCCGTAAAAGTATAGATATTCGTGTCTTGGTTAAATTAATTATGAAGCTTATACAATTTGTCATGGCGCTCCTTTGAAGAGGTCGCAGCTTTCCAGGGCGCCGCGGCGCACAGTTTATGAATCACTGTGCTACAGATTTCATACAGGCCTCTGGCTTTCTCATCTGAAAATCACTGAGGAGGAGAACAAAAAGAAGAAGAAAGTTTAAAAAGCAAACAAAAACTCATTATGTCAGGTCTTGATAGTCAGTCAGAAGTTAAAGCAGGTTCAGCAGGTACACGGGCTACATCTGTCTCTTCAAGCTGTAATGATTTATATGGTCTGCATGGTGGTCTAGCAGTGATAAAAGCCTTTTCAGAGCCAGTGAAACATCATCATCATTATTATTTATTATTATGGTATTATTACTACTGTTATTATCTATCAAATGTATGAATAGAAGAAGGTATAAAAGGGGTAAGGCCAATTCTTACCTCTGTGAAAATAAGTTTAGTTCAATTGGTGGTAAATTAGATTTTGTCAAGACCCTCTAGAAGCGAGTGAACATTGTGAAAGCACATAATCATAACAGTCTGAAAAGAATGGTGCAGTGGGAAGTAACCTGAAACACAACACTTGGTGGAGAGGCAAGAAGGACACTCAGTCGGACTGCTGCTGTTACCATCAGAATTGGAACTCCTGCTGGCTCCTAACCCTTTGGAGACGGAGCCTTTTTAGAGTTTCGGTGCCAAGAAGACGGAGCCTTCAGGAGGGGATTCTCATAGTTTATACACAAAAAAATTATAAAAATTAAAGCGTGTAATTAACATAAACAAAACTATATATATATTCGTGTAGGAAATTGAATGAACTAACAGAATATTTATGAATCAAACGGAAATCTCAACATTTATTCAAATTAAATATTCTGATTTGCATAATTTATGCATGCAGTTTTTATAAAGCTTGGAAACAAACATAACTAACCTGAAAAATTTGGATGAAGCTTGAATAAGTCCTAACACCCTTATTTTGGGAAGTAAGGCCCTTGGAGGCTCATCCGATATGTCTGGCACATGGTTCTACTCATTGTCCTGCCTCCAGCCATGTTTCAGTTCCTGTGATGCAACAGTCCTTTTTGCAGTTTTTTGGGGCATAGGTAACCCCAGAAAAAAATTGATGTAAAATCACAGAACACATCAAACTTTCTCGAAAGCTGTCAGTGAACAGCCTACATGTGCCAGAAATGCAAGAAGCAGTCTGATTGTCTGGTGCGAAAACTTACAGCCAATATCAAGGCTTTTATTACACAGGAACTGACCGATCGGCCCAGCTGTACTTCTGGCTACTTTGCGTTGGACCAATATTTCGGCCGCGCCATCTCCAGAGGGTTAAGATGGGTGACAGAGTGTTTATGGAAATGTTCCAAGTGCTGTGATGTCATTTCTGAACTCAGCTCAGTTGAAATAATAACCTTTAGCTACCTTTTTCTTGTCCATAAGTTCTTGCTGACACAAATCTATCTTCATTTCCCATGCAGCCCACACACATGGCAGAGTTTGCACAAGTGCAGTCCATACAAACAATGACTGGTGACGATGGGAAGGGCCTGGTTCAGCTGAAGATAATTGGAGCGGCTGAGCCGTTAACTATCACCTGTAAAACTCTGGATGAGGTGGAGGACATGGCTGATTTGATAGATGGTTACTGCAGATTGGTCCATGACATGCAGGGGTCCCTTTGGACCAAGAGAGGTAAGTTCTTGTTGAATATTCCTGAATTTTAGTCAGTGGTCGCTGTGGTTAAAGTGATCAAGCTATTTGCCTGTGAGTGCCATGGGTTCATTTCATGGACTGCACAGATCAGTTCATCCGTGACATTTTATTTTACATAGATTACCAAAAGCTACAATATTTGTGACACCCATTCGTGGTTATAAGGATCTTTTTTTTTTTAAAGCATTCACCGGCTGTAGACTGTGGCAGAAAGTTCTTGTTGCTCATCCAATTGTGGACTTCAGTTTTATTCCAGAACATGAATTGTGGATGCAGATCCATTTTACAGATTAGTATGCAACTGTTGGTTCCTTGCCACTCAGGCTGATGAGCTCTGAGTTTAGAGGAAGAATCCATAATTTAGTTGCTTTTTGCACAGCATGCTTGATAGGGAGGCATTGGGTCTCTCTTCTCCCCCCCCCCCCCCCCCCCATCAATGGGGCCCTGGAACACACACAAGCAAGTTGTTGTGTGGGATCAAACCTAGCAGTGCAAGACGATTCTCTCAACCTGAAACCTTTTGAGTTGTTGTTGACACGTTCCTGTATAGATTAGTTCCAAGACTCCATTTAGTAGAGGAAAAAGAACACATCGTGGCACCTAACAAGTAGGTCATAATGGGTGAATAAATAGAATTGATTGAAATTGTGTGGAGGAGCAGCTGGCCGAGTGATTACAACATTGAGCCCTCATGCCGTAGACCTGGGTTTGGTAAGGTGATGGAGTTTTTAGGTTGGGGGCAGAAATAAACATCCTAACCTGCATAATCTGTGGCGACAGCACTAGCAGTGGAGCCCTAAATCCTTAAGCTCATGACCCCTTGCTACACAGCCCTAAACAGTGGTAAAAACAGACAGTAGTGACAGTTGAAATTGTATGTGTTGGGCCTAAAGGTATACCAACCTATCTTTAAACTATGAACAAAGAAGAATAATGAGTCAGCATAATGAAGAAAGATATGGTAAGTTACGTATTTCTTAATTTAATGTATCTAGTCATTTCCTAATTGAGCATATGTCCTCAGCTGACTTATGTTAGTCAGGATTTTTTATACTTGTTCATGCTTAGTTATATCAGAATGAGTTGACTGCACTAAAGCTGTGAAAATGTAAGTGTGGGGGGAAAAACAATACTGTAAATATCAGTGTTGCAAGATAGTTACAAAAAATGTTGCAGTGACAAGCCTTTTTCAGTGATTAACAATAAAAACCAAAAAACACAGTGCAGAAAAGGAAAAGATGTAAATATTGTAGGGCAGTGTTTCCCAAACTTTTCTTGGTCGCGGCGCCTTTTTTCAATTAAAATTTGTCCACGGCGCCCTAACCTAAGTAAAAGTATAGATATTCGTGTCTTGGTTAAATTAATTATGAAGCTTTTACAATATTTCATGACGCCCCTGTGAAGAGGTTGCGGCTCCCCTGGGCCCCGCAGCGCACAGTTTGGGAATCATTGTAGTAGGGCATACAATATTGTTTACAGAAATAAAGGGAGGAGAAAGAAGGCAGTGGGTTTAAGGAGGGGGGGGGGGAGATCAAGGTACAGCAAAACTCGTTATGAGAGGTGCTCGTTAAGCGAGGTTCTACTGTACTCTTTCATTTGCAACTTTCCTGTCTGGATTCTGGGGCCCATTTTGGGGGGAAAGAAGAAGAAGAGACCCACTGCTCCTCACCAAGCATGTCGTAAAAGCCACTAATGAAAGATTTGCTTAAATCAGATGTGGTGTCTGAAGGCTAAGGATGTCACAGCCTAGCTGTAAACTACAGTACAATATGCAGCCTTCTTTTTTAAGGGTAAACACAGATGGAGAAGATTTGCAACTGTCTNCGAGCAATAATTTGTTCCAGAATCAAACTCGTTAAGCGAAACACTCATGCGAAATAATTTGTCTTATTTAAATTAATGTAAAAAACGATAATGCGTTCCATGTCGAAAAAATACTTACAAAATGCTATGTATAACATTTATTCAAAGACAAGTATCTACATATTGTTAAGGAGAGTGAATCATCTTCATCTTTTCTTTAAACGCGGAACAAATCTACCTGGAATTCGACCTGCAGAAAACAAAAGTCGAAATAATTATGATACATAGCTAAATATTATTTTTTAACTAGAAAGATGTCCAGAGACATGTGTGTTTGCCGACGCTTCAAAAATTGGCAAAAATGCGATAGAATTATCATTAAATAAATTTGCAACGCGCATAGCCACTTCTTTACTAGGGTGATGCTTCTCAATGTAAGATGCAACAGTTTGCCATGCTTTCAGCATTTCTCTTATTTCGCTAGAAGATTAATGCTTTTCTGTTACCTCCTCCTCTCTGACAAACTTTCCTCAAAATATCTTGCTGTGAAACACAATGCAACTCCATAAGCTCTTGGGTGGTCAGGTCTTGGCTGTGCTTTTCTACAAGCTCTTCGATATCACTGTTATGACATTGGCCAAAGACACAATCTCGTTGACTACAGGTTCCACAGGTACTGTCTCGAACCCCTTAGAGTCACAAATCGACAACACTCTCCGGTCAAAGCTTCCTCCGAGAAGAAGTTAGGGTTCTCTTGGTAACCCCTTCCCCCGCCTTGTCGATCATCTTGAGGCATGCAACGATGTGGAAGTGATTTTTCCAAAACTCTTTGAGAGTGAGGTTGGGCCCTTCAGTCACCTGAAAACAATGCTCGAAGTGTGCTTTAGTGTAGAGCTTCTTAAATTTAGAAATAACTTGCTGGTCCATAGGCTGGAGTAACGAAGTGGTGTTGGGAGGCAGAAACTGGATCTTGATGAACTTAAATTCTTCAGAGAGGCCATTTTGTAGGCCTGGAGGATTCATGTACATATATCACAATATAGCACAAGTTTGAGAAAATGTGTGATCACAAGCGACAGACGATGCTACTGGAACGAGTGCTAAACACAGACTGATGTAACATGCGCACAATTTGGGACTTCCCCTCTCGTCGCCACTCGTTATGCGGAACGTCATTTTTTAAGCAAGTCTTTTTTTTACAATTTGTTTTGCTCGTTATGCGAATTACTCGTTATGAGAGGTGCTCGTTAAGCGAGGTTCTACTGTACTCTTTCATTTGCAACTTTCCTGTCTGGATTCTGGGGCCCATTTTGGGGGGAAAGAAGAAGAAGAGACCCACTGCTCCTCACCAAGCATGTCGTAAAAGCCACTAATGAAAGATTTGCTTAAATCAGATGTGGTGTCTGAAGGCTAAGGATGTCACAGCCTAGCTGTAAACTACAGTACAATATGCAGCCTTCTTTTTTAAGGGTAAACACAGATGGAGAAGATTTGCAACTGTCTATGATTTTTGTTAGCTGTGCTGTGTGCTCACCAGCTTTCCTGCTTAAAAATATGAAACTAGATCGCTGCTTGTCTATTATCTGTTTGTTACTCAGCAAGGTCAGACACAGGTAGTGTTTGTTTGGGTCCCACATGAATAGATAATTTGACAGACAGTGGACCTCTAAGCAGAGTCATTACATCAGGTCTTTTATCAGGTTACTTTTTGTGTGTGTGCTAATGAAGGATTTCTAACTGCAGCTGTCATATATTTTATTTCTTGATTGTGCTTTATCAGGAAGCTGACCAGTTCCACTTCACATTTTGGTTGATATTTTCATGATCATTTAAGGAACAAGACTAAAGAACTCTCTACTTCTGTCTGTTTTTCCGTTCTGGGTTGCTCTCTAAAGGTTTGATCACTCCTGACACTTCAGGAGTCTTATCTGTCACGGCAGACCAACAGGACAATCCTAGATACCCTGTTCAGCTTCTGCATAAGTTATAATTAGGGCACCCATCACAGCTACATCAGGTTGGTCTAGCCTGCAGTCCTATGCTAGTAAATATGATTTGTGTTGGAGTTGATGTCTTAGTTAGGATGGATTATTTAGAAAGTGAAGTAAAAGGACCCTTTTCCATGCCTTCAGGTGTATTGGACATATAGGGTTAGACTTATGTCTTATACACCAGTTGGCACTCCATGGCTGATGTGGTCAGCATCACGCCAGCTACCTTTACTTCCCAGGACTGTACCTGATACTCAGTTAAGGCTGGGTTGACCTGGAAGCCAAGGTCATTGTTGAAAAAAGTCCTGCTCTCTCAAGACCCCAACCCACGACCTTCCAGTCCACAGGCGAGCATCTAGCCACTACACAATGGCAGCTCCAGATATGTTGGTAAAAGCCTGTTTATCTGGGTGAGGATGGATTATATAGCACTGCTCACATAATATCACCAGCGTGTTTTACATACCAGAATACATAGATACAAATTGCGTCACAATAGTCTGACGTGCTCCAGAAACTGGAGAGAAGGTAACACATGAAGCTTCCAAAGCAAAAAGGGAACATAGTTAAAGTCCGTTCCAGATGTCTTGCCCAACTGTAAAATCTATAACCCTGTAACCATTCAATGTAAGTTGTTGAAATGTGGCTTGCAGTCTGTTAATGATCATGTCCTTGTGACCAAAAAAAAAAAAAAAAAATATATAAACAAGCATCTAGTTCTCATTTGGCCTTATTTGCAATAAATGAAAAGACAAGACACTGATTTGAAGCGATCAGCATGCTTACAGTTAATTGTGTACGGGAAACTTGTCAAAACATCATACTGCACGAGTTTCATAGGTGTTTCACTCTAAGGTGGTCATCTCCAGCTTTAGCCTCCTATGAGTTGTGGATTTTTCATTATATGTAGGATAGGCTATCAGAAAAATCACCATGCATGACTGCACCTGTGAAATGATTTCTAAACAGACTTCAGGCATGTGTGTGGGGAAAAAAGGGGGGAGGGGAAGGGAGGGAAACCAAAGACCTTAGTTAAACAAAGATCACAGAAATTCCCCACTTTAAGAAACCTCAGCACCTTTGCAATTTTAATTTATAAAATCCTAAGGATATGGAAATCTAAGTCCACATGCAAACATCTGTGTGATCCGTACAGTAGTTCTTGTGATATTTGTTAAAACGTGA